ATATCTGTTTTTCTTTTTATTGTCAAAGCAGACATTTTTAACAATTTAGTTTAATATATAAGTACATTCAATATGTAGTTGTGTTGTAATTTAATTTTTGTTTTATTTGTTAAATATTGCATTCTTTGACCATTTGTTAATTGTTATAAATTAAAAGCATCAGAAATTCATAAAAATTATTTCAGAATTCAGATATCAGTATATCACATATTCACACAATGAATATTTATTATTTTATTTTTTCGAAGTAAATGGTGTTATAATAATATGTGATAACAGATGTAAACAAACCCCATACAGCATATGGTGCCAAACTTCAATGTAATACATCGGATATATAGGAAATTGGCCATCTAGTAGTTTTGTATATTTATGGTTCCCTCCATCTTAAAAATGTTTAACATGACACATTTTTGTGCTAATAKAATTAATTGATCATTCTCTTACTTATAGCTAAAACTTTTAGCTGCTAAAAGATCATGAAAGAAATAAAAATTGATTTATTGTCATTATGAAATTTAATAGTACATAAAAAAATTTAAATCCCACCATTGTTTTCCTGTAAAATTGTCAGGCTAGTTTTATATGTGATGTTAGTGATACATAGCTGAATGGCTTTTATGCCCATGTAAATATATATTTGTCATTTGTATAAGAGAATAATAATATACATATGCATACACCATACAGCAAGTTCTACACTAAGAATTGACTGAAAATGAAATCAGAACAAAATTATAATTGTATCAAGGAAATAAGTCTTATAAATATCTAAAATTTCAAGAAACTTAAAATAATAATTTTAAAAAATCCTAACAACTTGTACACTCTAGTCGATTAGACAATCACCATTTTAGACCATAATTATAATATAAATTAGGTTAAACTACTTACATTCAAAACCGGCTAGATTATTATGCTTTAAAAACAAAATATGACATAATAGCATTTAGTGGCATAACACAATTATGTTAAAGGTAAAAAAAACACCAAAATTACTAGAAACTGAGCCTTAAACAATACCATAAATAATAAAACCTCAATCAAAATTCAAGTAGATACACGGATTTAAGTTGATTGATATATTCAAGATTTTCTTATTAAGGGTACGAGGCATATGCTTGGTAAATTACCTATTTTGGAATGTTCGATTTTAATTTTTAATATATTATTATGTATACATAATTCATTAATAAAATTAAAAATATCTATACGTTTTGGGAAGTTAATTTTCAATTTTAGAGATTCCTTAAAATTAAGTTTTTTTTAATTCAAAAATTTGTTAAATAGTTTAAATACATTTTTTTTTATTCTGGGCACGTTTRATTTAAAATAAAAAACGATTCTTAAATATGATAGTCTGGATCTAGAATCTTAGAAATTTAACGATTTTTCAAAATTACAATCGTACTAAAGAGTACTGCTCTTGGTAGTTTTTATAGTAAGGTGCAATATATGCAATTTCAATTATATATTGAAATGTGCGTCTGAGTGTAAAAGTTACATCAGGTGGCAGCTGCACAATGTGGCATAATTTTCATTTCTCAGAAACATTTATGTTCATTTACTTCTCAATATTAATTCTTGTGTAAATATTCATGGCATAAAAATACAATTACAAAAAAAAAAATTTGATTGTTTGTGGTTCTTTAAAAGGTCTATTGTGTTGGTAGGTTTTATTTTGTATGATTTTAATCTTCAGGACTGTAGAATTTGCTTACAATTTTAAATATTGTGTAAAAAGATAACATACAAACACAAATAATGTAATTAACAAGTTAGGTAATAGGTTAATTCACTTAAATACAAAAGCTAACTTACTGCTTAATTGAAATAGTAGAAAGCATATTTATTTTTATTATTATTTTTTTTTTTAGCCAAAATCGTGTAGAATATGACAAACGTGTCCGAGCACAAGCCAAAGCGATGTCCAGAGCAGAATAAGTATAGTTGGCAGAGAGAAGAATTGAATTTATTTGTTTACCTTATTATAATAGCAACAATTCTCAATATGTTTTTCACTTCTGGTAATCAATAAGAAATATTCAATTGTATTATTACCAACATTAAACATTCAATTGTCTTCTCTCTTTTTTTTTACATCAAAAGATTGTATTCTTTTTTTTTATTATATTATAGCTGTACTATTATTTATATTAACTACTACATTATATTTATAAATATTTTGAGAACAAAACAATTTAATGCTACTTTTCTTGTACAAAAAGAACAACAACGACGACTAATCATTAGAAGTCGCACAACAGAATCTAATTGTTAATTATTGTTTGAATTGTACTGTATCATTTATCAATTAATTTTCTTAATGTTTTGCATTGCAAGACTGATTTTGTAAAATTCCATATTTTTTTCTTTGCCCATTTAAAATTTTTAGAATGAGTATTCTTGTACTTTTGGTTGCATTTTCTTATCCTTATTTTTTTTTAATACTAWAAAGGAAATGTCTCAAAAAMTTGATTATACTTAATATTCATATGTAAATGCTTTTAGATTTGATTCAAGAGTTTTATATTTTTATGTTTAGTAGATGATACAATACAAAGCATGAATAAAAATTGGTAAGATAACTAGTAATTAAATTTATACAGACGGAATTGATATAATAAAAGGTCCCTGTGACGGAACTCTAATGTAGCTGCTTTGCCAATGTCCTATCCGTTTAGTTGTAACTGTATAGTTGAACCTGGTAACCATATTATTATTGGT